GCACATATATTAAAAAATTAGAAGAACTGCGGACCGCATGATTATTCATCTTTCCTTCGAACATACCTATACAGACACAAATATGCATAAATAAATAAATGCGTTAAATAATAGGCATTTATATGCATATTTTGTTATAAATCAAAGAAGATATGTGTATTTGCTCATACACTTCAGTATCCATATATGCGTCGATTTCCTCCCATAACTATGCGTATATAATGCGTACAAAGGAAACATACATATGGAGACATGTATTTTCATCTATGAAATATATGGATACTATTTCTGATTTTGCTCGGTACATGCGACAAAAATGCATTTCTTTTCGAAACAACACATATATATACACGCATATCTTCAAATAAACAGTAAAAGAATATTAAATAGAAAAAGGTCTATTCTATCGTGTCAAAGCACTTAGAAACTTATAGAACTTCAGAAGCAGAATACTAGAACAGTAGAACAGGAAAATAGCAGGATGCTAGAAGACTACAATAATAGAATGTCAGAATGCTGGAATGTCAAAATAGCAGAATAGCAGAATACTGGAATTGGAGACGAGTAGAATAACTGAATAGCGGACGGAATAGGAGAATATTCGAAAACTAGAACAATAGAATACTAGAGTGCTAGAATAGCTCCACCGTTTTTTTAATTTCTTAACGGTTTACTTTCTCTGTTTCGAAACTTTTGGACGTTCTCAAAAGGCATGGAATTGAATATAGCGGAATTCGTTACTGAAATCAAAAGTTTATAGGTAATCGATTATTGTGCATCCGATGGGATGTACAGAAACATGTGTAGCATATGTGCTAGCGTATACAGTCATATCTTCTTCCAAAAAATGCACGTTTACCAGACCGAACTACGTTAGGCACCAAACAAACTTGTTCAGACAAGAAACTACGTGTTGTAAGGTTTCAGATTTTGCAGCGGATCTCCAGAGAACTTTTGAATTTCTATAACTTGGCACGACGGAATACGCTTGCTATTTTTTCAGGCTTTATTCATATATTACGCGTGCAGCACATGTATTAATGTACGTATGTATATTGCGTATATGAATAAAGACTGAAAAAGTAGCAATGTAGAAGGCAGAAAAAAAAACCTGGCGACAAAGTTTAATATTCACGTGATACAGGACAGTCAAATGTATCTTTATCAGCAATAAAAAGACATCAAATTTTTTTCGAAGAAGAGGAGGATACCCTTATGATATTAGAAAAACCGTGAAGCGAATGATCGTTTATCTTTCTTTTGAATATACCTGTCACATATCTTCTTTGATTTGTAACAAACTATGCATATAAATACCTATTATTGAACGCATTTATTTATTTATGTATATTTGTTCATACACTTCAGTATCCATATATGTGTAGATTTGCTTCCATAACTATGCAGACACATTTCTTCTTAGATTTCTAAAAAAATATGCAGACAAATGCATATGCTTTTCTAATTTCTTAGAAAGGTACCAGAAACCAAAGAAACATTGAAAAAATTGTTACCCACTAGTATATTGATACATCTGATAATAATAGTACTGCTGTCTGTTGGTCCAATAATTGTGGTCTCGGTATTTACTGTTATACAAATTTGAAAATATGTTATTGCCAAAACGAGAAGGCCTAACTGGCCGAACTTTCTTCTGACCGAAGCAGTTTTTTCTTAATGATCACTTACCATGAGTTGGAGCTATTTTCGTTATACACCTCGCAGACATGATATTTCCCCTAGCTCACGTAATTACTAATCGAAAATTCTACTCTATCCTGAACCACACATTTCTGTCTTGATCGCTGGTCTGCGATGTCCTTTACTACTTGCTGTCCCTCTCATTCCGAAGACCAATAATAATACTAGACTGGCCACACCAAAACTAATTTCTTGTCAGATTTCGGAAGAGAAAAGCCGTATTGCGATTAAGTAATCGAGCTACTTTGTGAACCACTACTTGTCTCGCCGCATTATTATTATAGATGCCCCAACAAATTTTGTCAGTATCCCTACACTTACCCTAGTGATGGGACGAAGGACCTAAGAAGCATAATACGTTCGCTTCGTTCTCTCAGTGTTCGTATATCGAAAAAGAAAAAGAAATTTACGGCTGACGGTCTGTTTCATAAAAACACATAAAAATAACGGTTATATAGAAGAAAGAGAACAATTTCACGACGAAACGAACAAAGGACACTTCTTACGAAATAAATAAATATATTCAAGATGGCTGCTAAATGACTATCACGAATTTTCAATTTCATTTTATTTAGCTTAAATGAAAGCAGGCTAAATATTAAATGAAGACAGGAAAGGCTTGTAAATACTGCTCCCAAAAATGTTTCCAGATATGAACGCACAAAAAAAGACAAGGTACAATAAACAGAAAGAAAAGTTAGAAGAACCGTTTAGAATATCCAGCAAAACACTTTCAGTCTACAACAGAGACCGAATCGGGTCTTAGGTGGATGACCCGAATCCGACCCGAATCAATATTTTCTGAATTGGTGTTGAGGTGAAAGTCGCTTTCGAGATATGGTGGCGCCAGTATCCGATGTACCTTATAGGGCTTCCAGCAAAACCCTTGCCTTAACATTTGCTTGTATGAAATATTGCTATCAAATATGTATCCATCTAAACTTATATTTCGTTTCATGTTTGCCATGGAGTTGTCCATTGTTCATTTTTGTTGTTCAAGACAGAACTCATTGGCTGGTCGAAATGGATAAAAACAAGATTAAGCAATAAAGCTGCTTTACAAGGTAACGCTCGTCTACACTTGCTCGGTCCCTTGGCTTTAGGAACTTATATCTACGAACAACCCTCCATCACTTTTGAATTCATGACAAAGCTCACGCCTCCCTTCGATCGGCGTTCACTAGGGGACTATCTGAAATATGTTCTAAATTTTCCTATCATTTGTTGTATAAGGTACGTAATCTCACGTACATCTAAACGGTTTTCTGCAGACCTTGCAAATATCTTCAGAGATCTAAAAATATTTCTGGACTCAAAGCAATGCTCTTGCCTCCCTTCGGTTGGCGTTCGCAGCCAGTATAGCTGAGAAACGCTATGAACTTCTCTGATTCCGCGGAAAAACCGTCTTATGTAATATAAAGCTAAAGGTTTTCTATACACCCTCTCCCGATTCCAAGGAGGTTGGAAGTACATGTGACCGATTCACTATGATAGATTATCTGTACACTGTAGTTTCATTATCGGTACACGACTTTTTTTGATAGTATCACAGTTGACTGGTATCTCGCGACATCTATCTCCGGCCTACAGAACACGTTTGCTTAGCCATTTTTCTCTCCGCATCAGTAGATATTTCAGATCATCTCTTTGAATATAGAACAAGACTGTTTCAGAAAATAAAATTACCTTGTAGTTCTTTATTACGTACTCTTGAACTAATATTCGACTATGATTTTTGGAACTTTATTTTATAAATAAATCTATCTTACGAGGGAACCTATGGAGATGAAGCACTCCGATTTCGTTCGTTCTTGTGTGGATCGATAGGGCATGTGGAGTGGGTGAAAAGCCTAAGAGGGTTCGGGCGGAGACTTTTTCCTTGGGGAGTTATGGGCATTTTAAGCATTTTCTCACGTCAGCGGGAAACAGGCAAAATTAAAAAAATCACAACTCTGTCCAAGAAAGTCATAGAGGGCTGAAAGTTTTCTTGGTGGTGAGGATAAAGGTTGTCTTCATATCCTGCAAGTTTCAGAGTTCGAACAGATTTGTTTCTCGTCCGACAGTGATCGCTGTCATATCAGTAAATGTACGAATACGACATTTATCCAGTGTGCCTATTGTTCGCAAGTTTGTTGTTTCTCGCATTTTTACACCAGCTACCACTATCATTAAAGTGTAGGTTTTTTCTCTCTTAGTTTCTGTGAAGTCCTGTTACTGTTACCTTAAGGGTCGTGATTCGAACTCGAGTTTGTGAATCATAAAGGAATAAAAATGACGAAAGTCAAACAGATTTGAAAGTGTAAGACAGACGAAGCAGTGTTCTCATGGCGTTTCCTTGCCTTTATGGAAAGTTCTACCTCTGAATGAGAGAAAGTGATAGAACTCTGAAACTTGCAGGATATGAAGACAATCTTTATCCTCACCACCAAGAAAACTTTCAGCCCTCTATGACTTTCCTGGACAGAGTACTTCTACAAATCGATCACGCCTCTACAGAACGGGAAAGAAAAACTATTGGCCCAAAAGTATATTATTATCAACGCGAATAATAGATGATTCTAGTAATAGGAGCTATAATAGATAAGACCGACAGATCCAATTAAGAAGATCAGTGAGGATTATGAAATAATGCGAGACATAATTTGTACACTACTTAAATTGAATTATTATTTGAGCATCTAAAGAAATGACATAAATAGTAGTGATATAATGAAGGTAGAGCACAGTACACTCTTTAATTCGTTAAAAATGTCTATTTTTCCGTTACCGCCTGTTGATAAGATGACATTACGTGAATGGAACCATATTACCGATACGTTAGAAGATTGTATATCGTTTTCTCAAACACTTGGATTAATACCGTATAGTCCAAGTGCACCATGTACGAAAGGCCATCATAAATGGTATATGGGCAAATCGTCAAGAGCCCACGACAATATTACTTTAGAAAACAGTTTATATTTTATGTTATGGTTTAGAATATCAATGGCGTTGTCGTGCAAAAGGTTGCAAGTTAACTCGATCTATTCGTGATGGCACCTTCGTTTCCACATCAAGATTATCAATCCAACAGTTACTCGATTTAATGTTTTATCGATCACAAGGCTTCGATAGCCACGAACATCTTCGACGTCATTTTAACTTAGCAAGTGAGTCTACCATCGTGGATTGGAAAAATTTTTCTCGTGATATCTGCGCTGAAATTTTTTTAAGGCATTCGGGAGTAATTGGTGATTGGACTTGTGGTGGAAATCGACAAAAGTTCATGGACAAAAAGAAAATACAAACGTGGGCGAGTGATGCCAGACGAGTGGGTATTCGGTGGTATTGACCGAGACATCACAGAATGTTTTGCTGTCACTTTAAATCATCGTGATGCTGCCACACTGTTACCAATTAGACAACAGTATGTCAGACCAGGTACGTCACCTTGTATTTACATTTCTCTTTAATAACGCTTAATATATTTCCAGGCACAACGATTCACAGTGACGAATGGAGAGCATACATCTCCTTAAGAACAAATGCTAATGGTTACGAACATCAAACGGTGAACCATTCGTTACATTTCGTGGATCCACAAACTGCGGTACATACCCAGAATATTGAAAATATGTGGATGGTTGCAAAAAGAAAAAAGAAGAATATGATGGGTATCTCTGTAACACTCTTACAGACATATCTCACCGAGTTTATGTGGCGAAGAAAATTTGGAGATAGACCGTTTGAAAATCTGGTACAACAAATTAATGAACTGTACCCCACTGAACTATATTAAACGGTTTTTGGTATTTTTATGTGTTTTTTCGTTTTTTGGTATAAGTAAATTAATTATTACGCTCTTTCGAATATAATCCTTCGACTGATCCTTATCAGTTCTGTCAGATTTTGAAAAGTACGTCTGAAAATGTTTTCTGTCTACATGTCATGCATAAATGATGTTCGAGAGAACCGCGCAGTTAATTAATCTCTCTGCATGCACCGACTTTTGAGCTGTTTAGCTTCAGTAGATCCACATTTCTCGCCTGTCCTGTAGAGATGTTCCAGTATATTAAAATATGAAAAATAACTGATTTACTGGTCCATATTACCGTTTTAGTCCGTAGCTGATACAGAAATAGGCGGATGATGTTTCACAGGATACACACTGGTAGATTCTTTGTCCGGCATGGTTTATGTTTAGCTAACTGCTGTTTTACTTTACGCTTTTTCAGGTCTTTATGAAAGAATAATATATTGATGTATTTCAAGTGCAAATTTTGTACAAGAAGATAAATTATGTGATAAGCATTTGCCCTCAATTGATATATCATATCTTATTTGGCGTACACATTATCGCGAAGACTTGTTTATTGGAAAAGAAGAATAAATGAGCCCGGTTTTATATTTTACATATCATGTTTTCAAACCTGAATGAAGTTATGTGGTTAATAGTCACTATGTGATACAGTTACAGATATAGAGTTTCATTGCTTATCGTGTTTGACCGGTTTTCTCTTCGGTACACGATAAGCTTAAGCTTGCTATTTATCAGAATTTTTATAGCAGTGCAGAACTAGTGACACGACATTACCGCAAGCAGGACCGCAGCTCTTCCATGAATTTTCCATAGTACACATTTGGATACTTTTGGCAGTATGTCGCGAAAGGTGGCGCTGTGGGTCATGAACAAGTCTTCGCAGTAATGTCGGTGTATCCGTATTCGGTTTTTGATAGGTCACCGCGTTTATGAATTTACAGATGAAGCATATGCATGTATAAAACCTATATTAAACCATTTAAGAAAAAATGAACAACAACCTGAATTCAAACAAAAACAAGAATTGATAATAAACGAGAAGCTTTAGAAAGATGACCTGCAGATATCCTTAAACGCTGGACATTTTCGTTACAACAAAATTTTGATACATTTAAAGTTCTTCAAGATATGATTGATGATAAAGATGGTACTACTGATTATAATAAAATTTGTTTTGAAAACATAACAAAATCAACAATAGTAAGGATAATGGAAATAATCAAAAAGCTTTTTATGATAATCATGATATTGATAAAACAAGAAATACAGTTCATAATAGTATTAATAAATGGGATCTTTATACTGTTCCAATAACATCAATTAAACAACGCTCGAAAGAATCAATGAAAATTGAATTAGATACATATAAAATTGTTCTTCTAAGAACAGTGCATTGGGATATAATCTAATACAATAATAATAATATGAAATCGAGATGCTGATGTCAAGAAGAAACGAAAATAAGTATTGAAATTGAAATTTATAAATAATAAAAATATTAAGTATAAACTAAAATAAGATTTAATTTACATAAATTATTTAAATATAATATCAAAGCTCCTTCTTTCCTGTATATAAGAGAAGAAGAAGAGAAGGTAATCCGAGTTTATTTAATGAAAAACGCCTTCTCTGAATGTATGAGAAGAAGAAGAAGAAGAGGTTTGAATATGAAGATTAAATTTGAAAAACTTCTCTCGCTCTAAATGTGAGAAAAGACGGAGAGAAGAGATGTTAATTTGAAGTTGAGAGCTGAGAAGGAGTGAAAAAAGAATCCAGATTTACTTTCGATTATGATTTGTTTTTTGGTTTGTTCCTCCAAAACGACTTTTATTAAATTAATAAATAATTAATAATTCCTTTTTTCTATAATCTCTCTCCCTAAAAGCTGCGAAGCTTCCAAGTTACTAGAATTTCTAGAATCTGCGATAAAATCAAGGAATGCGAATAACGTAATGGCGATGCGTCGTTATAATCGGGGCATACCTATCTCCTTTGCAAGCTGCTACGGAACATGATCGGCACCGAGCTGCTTGGTGACCAAGTTACCGAATTGGTGCATGCCTTCAGTTAATCTGTCGACTGTGGAGTATTCTTCAAATGCAGGTAGCTAAACATGATTTTATGAATAAAGTGGAAAGATCCACATTACTTTGATCGTGAACGATCAATAATAACAATAACTATGCTGAACTTTGTTTCAATCAAAACTGCAGTTAGTTCTACTATTCGAATGACATCTTTCATTTTCAAAACAAATGCCAGCATAAAAATATACTACAATGTCAAAGAAACGGAGCTTCACACAGTTTTGAAAATACGTAAGTAGCAGAGATCGAAACGGGTCTAGTCAAAGAAAAAAGAAATTTTGGTTAAGCAAAATAAGAGACTTAAGGCTCTATACATGAATAATGAAACTACATGATTTAGATCCAGGATTGATATACATACAATAAAAAGTCGATCTGCGAAGTGTACATATTCCATATTCGACAAAAATGAAAATGAACTGAGGGTAACACACAAATAGATAAATATGTTTCTCACCTAGCTGTCGTATCGCGAGTTTTAATACTCTCGTTCAGTAACGCATCCATAGAAACAGACCGGGTAATACTATTTAGTTGGTGTATAATATCAAACTGTTAATCATTCTGTTATTAGGAGATGATAAGCACGTTTATCGCCTAATAAGCTTATACAGTTGCTCCTCAAATGTTAATGCAGTAAAAAGATCACGTGAATCGCAATAACTTTTCTTCTTTTATTTTCAGTGTTCAAAATTGTATCAGAATTTGTCCTGTGTATTTGTCATTTGTTGGAGTCTCATTAATCTTGTTGAAACAGTAGAAATTGTGTTTCTCTTCAACAGATG